AAACGAATCCATTGGCCTTCACAATTGGCACAACCGGTGCTGCCCATTCCACAAAATGGACTGGTTTGATGATCCTCTTGCTTTCCAGCCTCCTGATTTCTGCCCATAATCGAAATGACACAGGTTGGGCCTTGCTGAATCATGGAATTGCTTCTTGGTCAAAATGAAAAAGTTAGCTTTCACTCCTTTGATAGTCTGGACCTTCCTGAAACACACCAGGGATTTCAAGAGGACTTCACTCAGGCAGCCATTTTCTAAATGAAAAATGTTGAGTCAATCTAGGTGAACCTTTCTCAGCCAATTTTGCCCCATCAAGATTGTGCCCGAGCCTTTTACTGCAAAATGGTGATAACTGAACCAGCGGCTTCTCATAAGATGTTGTACTCTTAATCTGTAAATGTTTCCCTGGTGTAGGTTCTCAGTCTAGACGAGGTCTTGCGCAAATGTATGGGTTGGAGTCCATAGGCAAATTTGTTAAAGATAGGTTCTGCAGTCACTGAAACAGCTGCACCGATATCACCCTCCATTAGAACTGGGTGACCATTTAACCTGATGTTAATTTTGATTGATTCTGATTTGTATGTTGCTAAGCAATTTAACTGTTCCAAACCACATGTGGGTGGACTTTCCAGGGAGTGCATTCTCCCAGACATCAGCCTTTCAATTCTCTTACTCAGTTTAGGTCTCATGGGAGTCTTTTGCTGTCTCGAGTCCGCATCCTGTCAGCAACTGTAATGGCTGTCCAGCCTGGATCCTGAAGAAAATTTTAACCATTTAGCCGAGGCTTGGCTTTGTCATCTGACCTAGAGTCTCTCTGTTCAGGATATGTTCCCAGTGACGCTCTACAATTGCCTTCAATCAAGTGGCATTCCCCAAACTCAATCTGTCTGTTGAGTCGGTCTTTGGACTCATCTGCTCCACTTGCTGCATTTTCCAATGATAAATCCAGTTGTGGTGACTATTTGAAGTCCAGTTGGGATTTTACATGGTTATATCATTAATCCCATGTACCAGACAGTCTCAGCATTTCACTTAGTGTTAAAGTCACATGTCTCTGCCAGTTGTCTTAATCTAGCCAAAATCCTGATGCAGATTCCCCTGGTTCTCAAATTGCAGGGTTAAACTGATAGCATCTCAGAATCAGAGGAGGATAAGTGTCATAATACTCCTTAAATTAAATCCATCACCTCTTGAAAGGTTTTCATAGCTGGTGACTCAGGGAAAGTAAAGCTCCTAATAACCAAAAAAAAAGCTGCAGGTCCACAAGCTGTCAGGAGAATTACTCATTGCTTTCCATCTGCAGCAATATTATTTGCCCAGGAAAAATAATGCAGTTTTTTCACAAACTGGCCCAGTCTTCAACAGCAGGATTGGGCAAGTCAAGGTTCCCAAATAATGGCATGATGCTAGAAACACTTATCCCAACTCAATGACAAAGTTACAAGTGAATTTCTTCAGGAGCTTGCTTTTCTCTCATTGCCACTGAAATAACTCCACAGAGGTCGTTATCCCATCACCTTTGTTTAGGTGTGGAGAGTACTTGACACTGATTCGGCTTTCTCAGAGTGAGTAGGACCTCTGACACTCCTGTTTATATCTGTCAGCCAGGGCTCCCTGATTGGACCAGATTAACAGCCCCAATCAGGGAACTCATATTCTATGATTACCAGCTGGCTGACCTTATCACAATCACTGTACTAAACACCACACACAATGAGTTTCAGAAACTTGTCTTTAAACATCCAGCAATTCCTTCTACAATCCTTGGTTTTACAACGTCCTTTTTCCATGTCAGTACATCAGAAATACAGGAAATAAAATGGCATGGTCTTTCAACCAGAGAAGACCCTGTGTAAGCATTCACTTGATGTAGCCCTCCATCTTCTTGCAATTATTTTCTATCTCATTTAACTGACTTTCTGTATTTAATTTGAATTTAATATTGTAAATCACTTCCAGGTTAGATTTTGCAGGCATGGATGGGGTGGGATGGTTGAATGAAAGATGGCAAGTAAAAATAGATCAACTGTTTACTGAGTAATAAATAGACTTTGAGGTGTGGTCGCGAGCATTTTAAATCAGCAATTATCTTGATAAGGTTGTCGACATGCTTGCCGAGCCGATGGGTTTGGTTACAAACGTTTTGTTGCCCTGCTAGGTAACATCATCAGTGTGCCTCCGGTGAAGCGCTGGTGTTCTGTCCCGCTTGTTATTTATATGCTTCATTTTTCTGGGGTAGTTGGTATTACTTCTGGTTCTGTTTCTCAGTGGTTTGTACAAAGATTATAATTCAATATGTTTGTTGATGGAGTTCCGGTTAGAATACCAGGCCTCCAGGATCTCCCCGGCGTGTGTCTGTTTGGCTTGTATGATTATCGATGTGCTGTTCCAGTCGAATTTATGTTCCTCTGTCTGTCCTTATGTCTGTGTGTAGTGAGACAAGTGAGAATTGGTCGTGTCTCTTGGTGGCTAGTCGGTGTTCATGTATCCGTATTGTCAGTTTTCTTCCGGTTTGGTCTACGTAGTGTTTCTCACAGTCCTTGCATGATATTTTGTATATTACCCCAGTTTTGGTGGCTTTGAGTATGGGATGCTTTCCGTTCGTCTGTAGCTGTCGTATGGTGGTTGTCGGTTTGAGGGCTACTCTGATACCTAAGGGTCAGAGTAGTCTTATGATCTTCTCTGAAATGTCTTTGATGTATGGTAGGGGAATTAGTGTGTCTGGTTGTGTTGTGTCTTCCTGTTGTGGCCTGTCTCGGAGGTAATGGCAGATTATGCTTTTCGGGTATCCATTCCTTTTGAAAACTCCATATAAGTGTTCCTGTTCTGCTTTGCGTAGTTCCGGGTTGCTGCAATGTGTTGTAGCTCATTTAAATAGTGTCCTGATGCAGCTCCATTTGTGGGTGTTGGGGTGGTTGCAAGTGGAATTGAGTATCTGGTCCACATATGTGGTCTTTCCTTATACACTGGTCTGCAGTTCCCCTTTGTCTTTGCCTTTACACCCAGGAAGGGTAGTTGGTTGTTGTTCTCCTCTTCTTTCTTGAATTTTATCCCAGTAAGGATGTTGTTTATGTGTTGGTGCGTTTTTTCTAGTTTTGTGTGTTTAATAATCACGAAGGTATCATCCACATACTGGACCCAAAGTGTGGTTTGTATAATTGGGAGTGCTGTCAGTTCCAATCTTTACGTTACTACTTTTGCAATCAGTCCTAATATTGGGGAATCCCATTGGTGTTCCCTTGATTTGTTTGTATATGCTGTCGTTGAAGGTGAAGTGGGTTGTGAAGCACAGATCTAGTAGTTTCATGGTGGTGTTCTTATTGATGTTGTTGGCGTCCTGAGTTGCCTGTCTACATGATTCGTCCAGTAGTCTGGCAATTGTCTCTTTGGCTAGGTCGATGTGTATGGATGTAAATAGTGCTGTTACGTCAAAGGATATCATCATCTCATCCTCTTCAATCCTGGTGTCCTTGATGTTAAGGATTTCTTGGGATGATTGGATGGAGTGGGTAGTGGTGTCCATGAAGTATACCAATTTCTGTTGTAGTTCTTTGGCAAGTCTATATGTTGGTGTAACTGTCAGTGAGACAATGGGTCTGAGGGGGACCCTCGGCTAAAACACTACTAGCAGATACTGACACCACAGTTAGGAAACTGGATTACAACAACCCTGAAGAAATCACACAACTCAGGAGACATCAGCAAGACAGACTACCAAAAAATTAAGCCAGAGGGATCCAATACACCCCAATTCTACAGATTCCCCAAGGTAGACAAACCGGGGGGCCCCACACTCCTGGAAGAATCACATAGACAGGCAACCCAGGACACCAACAACATCAATAAGGACACCACCATGATTTGTTGTGGGTGAGGTTGTTGACTTGCTTGCTGAGCTGGCCTGATTTCATTCAGATGTTTCGTCACCATGCTAGGTAAACATCATCAGTGAGGCCTCCGATGAAGCGATGATGTTCTACTCCGCTTGGAATTTATACTGTCTGGTCTGTTATGGTGAGTTGTGTTATTTCCAGTTTATAAACCCATATAGAACAATACTGGAAATAACACAACTCACCATAACAGACCAGACAGTATAAACTCCAAGCAGAGTAGGCCAACATCACTTCATCAGAGGCCTCACTGATGATGTTACCTAGCATGGTGACGAAACATCTGAATGAAAACAAGCCAGCTCGGAGAGTAAGACAACAGCCTTCAAAAGAAATGGACACCAGAAAAGCACAATCCGCCATTACCGCACTACGTAGGCCAAACTGGAAGAAACTTGACTGCATGGATACATGAACACCAACTAGCCACCAAGAGTCACAACCAATTCTCGCTTGTCTCACTACACGCGGACAACGAGGGACATAAATTCGACTGGGACAACACATCCATAATCGCACAAGTCAAACAGAGACATGCCAGGGAATTCCTGGAGGCCTGGTATTCCAACCGGAACTCTATCAACAAACACACTGAATTAGACCCAGCGTACAAACCAGTGGGAAACAAAACCGTAAGTAATGCCAACAACCCCAGCAAACCGAGGCATATAAATAACAAGCGGGACAGAACACCAGCGCTTCACCGGAGGCACACTGTCAATGTTACCTAGCAGGGTGATGAAACATTTGCAACCAAACCCACTGGCTCAGCGAGCATGTCTACAATGTCATCCAAAACGCGAGCTACAAATCTTCTCGACAACTTTAAATTATCTTAATATCTTACTTTGAGACAGGAAAGATTGATTTAATAGTTTCAGTTTTTCAGCAGCTCTGGGCTGTCACTATAAGGAATACTGACTTCACTAGGGCCCTGGCAATCAATGGACAGTATCTTGGAATCTAGAGCAAATGTATTAAACCCACATAGCCAGTGTTTTCCCAAAAACAGGGCAGGAATTTAAATTGTAAACCCAATTAAATATTTCTTTCAAGAACATTTGAAATTAAACTAATAGGAGAATAATGCACAAATTGAAATATGCATTCATGCAGAAAATATTTTATTGATTTAAATTTGCTGCCAAACAAAAAACTGAAAGGTTTGCAACATACAAAAGTTGACAATTCCACAGTTTAAAGGTAGTAATTGGGAGGAAATCAAATCTCACAACCTTATCTCATCATCAAATAAAACTAAGCAAATAGAAATTGCGAGGAAAAACATTTCAGATTTTAATAATTACATTTGTTGCACAAATTACATTCAGTTAAGAAGACTTGAGTTCACAACATTTCGCCTTCACCTTTACAGATTTGGCAGCTGCATGATTTAGCAGAAATGTAGGTGTAGAATCGAGGTTTTCCATTGCGGCATTTCAGCTGTGTTACTTTTCTCTCAGTTTCTTTTTCCTGGCAGCAGTTACAGTTGTGTTTCATGCCATTTATTTTGGGATCAAATCTGAAAAATAACCAGATCACAAGTCAGTCAAGTCTCACTAAATTACCTATTTTATTCACAAAGCTATAATACCATGATGGTGTCAAAGTAGTTACCCTGTGTGAAACACATGACAAATGAAAGAAGAAAATAATATAAATTGCAGTGAGGAACACATTAAAATTTCTCAAAATAAAAGAAATTCAAAGAGCTTAATTGCATTAACTGGGCTTATAACTATTTATCAAATTTGATGGCTTGCACTATCATTGGATGACCATTGCAAAGCTCACAAATACCATAAAATCATTAACAGGCTTTCTGCAACTCCTTTTACAAGTATCACCCATCCATCCCATAGGTAGGTAATGCACGGGATATAACAGGCACAAAGCATCGAGATCAGCCATGTTCCTGGGCCCTCCATCCCCTACCTTCATCAAGGGGGAAGTACCACTTGACTGGAGTAAGGAAATTCCCAATCGTATGAACATGGCAGTAGGTTTCAACAGACAGATTTTTGGGCCTAGCAATCACAAGCCAGACACTCTTCAGAGACCCATGGTTAGATTTTATAAATTTGCTGAAAAGAGGAGTTCATCATCTCTGGCATTGTGCCTGTACGTGGCTCATAGATAAAAATTATTATCAAAAGAAGAATTACAGAAAGAAGCAGCAACCTGCTATATGCATTAGTGACCTGATTCCTTCTTTTGGTTGACTGTTGTAATAGACGACATAATCTAACAGTCATTCCATCCCTGGATTCATCTGTCTTATGCTCTCATTTTTTATTTCTATTTATACGCTATTCATCTCTTGAAAAGCTACAAGTCCAAAATATTCGCTGTCCCTTCACTACAAGAGTGCTCATTGACCTGCTGTACATTTCAGGCTTTTTATCTTTACTTGATTTATTATTCTGTTTAAAATACAAAAGTATTAAGTTACTTACATAGCAGACGAGTCACAATTTCCTTCACATGCTTTCACCTGAACGGTCGCTGAACAACCACCTTGTCTGATGCCAATCTTTTTGTGTTGCACCTTGCATCGTCTCACTGTGAGGTTGGGAGGAATCAAGTTATTTTCTCAACTATTTTAAATTGCATCACATGTGACAAGTACGGATAGATCAGATGGACATAAAAAAATGAAGCAGGCATAGGCTTTCTTCTTTTGAATAAAATCTTGAAGCTATTGGCAAGAGATATCAGAAGATGAAAGTTTCATTAGGATTTCTTCATACAAAATAAGCTAAACCCAACATCTATAAAAGCTCATAATTGAAAAATAGTGGACCTGTTAATTGTTATAGAAAATGCTGTGCAATCTTTGCATTATTGATCGTGAAGTGATCTCAATTTCCTACTGGGTCTGTGCAGAGGTCAAAGTATCAGCCGAGAAAGAGTTCTGCATGGTGATGTGGCACTTCTTTAGTGCATGAGGTCAGCTCATTAGTTTAATGCAATGTGGGTCTGATGTAAAATGGTGTGCAAAATCACAGACAAATGCTGAGAGGTCAAAATATTTTATATAAATGAACTGCACTGAATTGTCAAAGGGTTTTTATTTTGCTTCAATACTTTGCTGATGACGTATTGGAGCAGTTACTTCAACATAGCTTCAGCATCTGGCCTATCAGTCTGTAGGAAGTTGAAGCACAGACCTCATAAGTTTAAAGTCAGGCAGAAACCTATCAATCACATTCCCTGTCTCAATAATTATTGATGTAGAAAAAAAAGTGTGCAGATTGAAAACATCCTTCATGATGTCAGCATACCCTAAAGCAGTTCATAGCCAAGTTAATTTTTTTAAAAACAGTCAGTTTTGTAAGACATGAATCCATAATGTATGAAGAAGATGAAATTCACAGTCACAATAGCTTTAAGTTGTAAAGTCATCACAGAGAAGAGTAAGCTTTTCAAATAGATAGCAATACACAAAATGAAACACTTACATCTGTCAGGACAGGAATAGCAGCAACGATATTTGTCCCATGTTTTGTCAGCCTAAACACAGAAAAAATTCAATTGTCATTGTTTTAAGATCACTTGTTCTAGAGATTTTACCAGTATTGAGCGTGATTCATGCACAAATTATGCAGATAATGAAAATAACTGTAGTAACATTTTCCAATGTGCCCCTGAATTGAATAATTATGTTTTGTTAAGCATATTTACGTTCACAGTAAATACAGAAATATTTGTTTCAGGTATATTAATGAATGCCAGGACATTGATCAGATATGGAAACCGGGTGAGTAACAGCACTTAGAATAGTTTGCCCAAGTGTTGTTATGGACTACATATTCGATGTAGTAATTTGACCCTTCTTCAGAAATGGGTCTAGGCCCAAAACATCAGCCTTCCTGCTCCTCTGATGCTGCTTGGCCAGCTGTGTTCATCCAGCTCTACACCTTGTTATCTCAGTAATTTCTGTTATGTTTTAATATTTATCTGTTAAATTTGAACACATCAGTTATACCCATCATTCTTGACAATCAAGATAAATTTATGAGAGCATTTTATAATTCCCATCCAATATTATCCTTCTTTCAAACAGCTCATCATAGATCTTTTGTCAGTGTCTCTGAATGTGTATTTTCATCTGTTGTACAAAAAGGTGGATAGTTTTGTGCCAGAGGCAGCAGCAAAGGCTCCCTGCTTACTCTGACAGATGAGCATTGTGGCATAAACCTCTATCTTTTGAATTCTATCTATGTATGTGAACTTCAGAATTGTGAAGGACAACTACAATTTTTTTGGTTTTGGAGACCATATTTTCAGAATTGAAATGAATGAAATCAACTGACTTGAATTGCACTAATTGGCAGAGCAAGTAGGCTCTCATTTGCTGAGATTGAGCTGCATGTAGCAAGGGACTTACCCAGGTCAAACTGTCATATTCAAATGAATATTTCAGTATTAGAACACATCATGTCAAACAAAAAGCCAAGTACAGGTCTGCACTAACCTCATCACAGTATGGACGAGATGAACATGTTATTTGTGTCTTTGATACTACACCTCCTGAACATCTGTAGTGGACGCATGTATCATTGGGATGGGACCAACTTTCACCTTCCTGGAATGAGAACGTATAGAAATGTTGATATTGATGTAACATTAAAACAAAGAAATTAGGAATCTGTTCCAAGCGTTCAGCTGGTTATGGCAGTGAGTAGTTAAATCACGTTGTCCAGGAAAATCATGAGAATCCATCAAGATAAACAACCCCAAGTGGCAGAACATTTGGAGTGTTACAATTTCCCTCAATGGCACAGGATTTGACTGACATAATCAGCTAAGATTCCTCCTTCTGATTTTGATCGAGCAACTTCTGCCAGATTGGATCGTGTAGATGTCAGGTGCAATCTAATATCTCAGGTGGAACCCCTCAGACTGTTTGTTGAACACCCTACAACAACTTAGTATCAGTGCCCACACTACCAAGATGACCAGAGCTGAGATGCACTGGTGGATAGCACCTGAAATTAAACAATGGCACAACATAAAATACTGGAATCTAAAAACTTGACAGAAGGGAAGAAAAGAAATCTTGCATTTATTTTAACTTTTTTTTCTGAAAACCAAATATTCGTATGGACATTTGATTCAACACATTCTGACAAAATGACACCAATCTCTGAAAACAATTCCCCCTTTGTTCTAAAAACATCAGTCACTGATGTCAGAGACATATAGTCATGGGAACTAGCTGGCAGGGTTAAGCACACATAGTGTATGCCTCATCTATCCTAAAGCTCATCTTTGGCTGTTTCGAGGGTATTGTGAGAGAGATAATTCTTTATGTGTGATCCAAGTAATGAATGGCACCGGAATATGTCAACGATACCATATCACTGGAGGCAAGTAGGAAATGTCCACCTATGGATTTCCAATGTGAATAATACTAGTTGATTCATTGTTCTGTTTGTTTGCGTTACAATCAGTTAACATTGCACAAAACAGGAATTTAACTGGGGAGTTTTTCAATCTGTGAGTCATCTAAATTGAAGGATTAGCACAGCGACAGCTGTAGTTTAAAACATTGATACTGAAGCATTGTTCAAAGTGTCAACAGCAAGTCCATCCTTCAGTCATGTTGGGTAAACCTTTAACAAATACACTGTGATCAGTTCCTTTGTGAGTAACTTTACCGCATGACAAGGTAATTTTAAAACCAATTGTCAAGTTTGAGAAAAATGTGCTTTTATTGCAATATCAAATGATATAAGAAAATAGTGATGGAAAGAATGGATTGAAGGAGACCTTTGCATGATGGACTAAATTGACAGATAAACACAGATGCCTTATAAAAATACAGATGTGTATGAGGGTATTCTGGAATCAGGTTGGGAGTTAATTGCCAAATTAAATTCTCAATTTGCATCCACCCACAGCTGAAACAACATTGCATCCATACAAAAGTGACAATAAAGAAAGAATGACAAAAATATGAAGGCTTTGATAGAATTGGCGTGGGGAAAATTGTTTCCACTGGCAGGAATGTCAATAACTGGTGTATATAGGAATAAAATAATTGGCAACAGAACAAGAGAGGTAATAAGAAAATATTTCTTGCAATTAATTCATTAGACCTGGAATGCATGATTTCAAAAATGACCGAAATCAAATTCAATTTACAAGAGGGGTTCAGATGTATTTTTGAAGAAGGAAAATTTTGTAAGGCCATGGGGAAAATGCAGGGAAGTGGAACTAATTGAATCGTAGTTCTAAAGAGACAACATGGTCTGGGTGGGCTGATGGCCTCCTTCAGTACTGCATGTTTCAAACCAACATTGGTACAGCACAATTTTACAATATTACCACATTATACCATAGATTAGCTGATGAGACTTTACAACTAAATCATAGTCCCAGATGAATAAAATCTAGAAAAATTAATGAAGGGATTCAAATTTAATGAATTCTTATCTCAAATGCTCAGTGAAATTCTGCCCTGATGTTAGCAGGACATTATTTTATTGCTGGATTAATTTACTTAGAAACTGGTAAAAACAAAAAAAAAGGAGAAACTCACATATCTTAGGTTTCCTGCATAGTCTTTGCATCCTGTGGAAACGAGACGTATCACATTGTTAAATGAGTTCCATCTTTGTCAGTGATAACACTTGTGCTCAGTGTTTATTTTTTACTTATAATTCAAAAGTTATTGTACATTTTCATAGTTACTCACTAGCACATGAAGGAACACATTGGGTTCCATCCTCAGAGAGCATCAATCCATTTTTACAAAAGCAGCCTTCTGTGCATTCATCAAATCTCTCCCCAGGTATCTTCTCACTGAAAAGAAAGATTGTAATTGTATGTTTATTCAATGATGAAGTAACTAAAGGCATGGCAATTTTTTTTAACATTTATCAAAACTGTGACTTCAAAATATGGCCATCTGCTGTTAAAAGCAATGATACAGATTTGAATAATTCAGAATGCATGATAAATACCTACCCATCCTTACAATAATCGTGATTGTATCTGGCGCAGGCTTTATAGGTAAAACCTTCTGTGCAGTTGTATGCTTAAAATAAAATGTAAGAACAAGTTAGATAGGGACATTCAAAATACTGATGTTAATTACGATGTTCAAAAACAGTATGGCTATTTGGAAAACAATTCTGTTTGGAATAAGATTACTGCTTTGATCTTTCTGCTAGTTCATTTCAAATTGATCCTTCCTTTTCCTCATTGACTTGTGCTTGCAAGACAGGAACTCTCCCTTTACAATTATACCCATCAATACTCCTCAGCTGTTGATTTGTGCTACTACACAGATCAATAGCCTCCTGAGAATAAGCATCACCAGATGCACTTTCACAGTAGGATCTCTCAGTTTAAGGCAATCCTATCTCTGATGGGATTATCCTTCAGTTGTCAAAGTTCAGAAGGCTCAGCTTGTAGTCACATAATGTCCAATATTCTCCTTTTCTTCCTGAGTGCTACTCTTAACCCAAATGATGCATAAATTGTGTTAGTAGAGTCTTCAAAATGGGTCTTCAAGGCCTTATAAATTTCACAAGACTCGCTTTCCTTCTCATGAGTGACATGTAGGTGCAAATTAGTTCTAGCACTCCTTCTCCATTAAAGATAACAGTGCTTTGACTGATCCATTTTTATTTCTTATCCAATTCTGGAGAAAACTCATCATCCTGCCATTGAGACTAGAGTTCCAATTCCCTCCCAAATCCCCCTTCATGTTGATATGAGTAGATACTAAAATCTCAAAGTCATTATTTCGTAACCAACCATCAATTCTTGTGGGAATCTATAGACAAGGTTCTTAGAACTTGGCTCATGTGTAAAACACACAAAGTGAGCAAAGGCATTTGAACACACTCTAACAAGCCAAAACTCTGCTTAGAAACTGCTCTGGAACTTTTCCAACCAGAACCCTATGGGACATGTTTCCCTGTGATGGATCATTGCACATCTATTGACTTTCTTACACCTGTCAATGTCTCAATCCAAAGGCTGTTAAAAGGGCAGGTCAGACGCATTTCAGTTCACTGACTTTCCTAGTTAAAATTATTTCTCTCTAAATCCAATTACTGATCCTGTGTGATTAATGATAAATAATTTAGGATTGGGCTCAGTTTCTGGCTCCTGAAACCATTCTGACCATTTCCATGTTAACAAACCATAGTAAGACAGATCAATGTGCAGATAACTTCAACAATTTCATGGTTCCATATAATTCATCTAAATAATGTAGATACAAGCCTAATATATAGATATTTAAAGTCTACAGATCATTCTAAAGGCTCATTGCACTCACGGCATAATCCATTTGTCGAGTCTCTCCAGTCAACACATATCCCAGCTGCATTACAGGTCATGGCAGCAGCTTCCAGGCTAGTACAGTCCATCTCTGTAGAATTCACAGCACAGTGATCGTACTGACATGCCTTGACATAGTTAGTCAGGTCTTGCCTGTTTTTGCATTTTTTGAATGAACTGTAGAGTGGGAGTATAAAACCATTTAAATATTAGCAACATAACAGCCAAAATGATCTCCCTCCTAAGAAAGCTTCAAGGCTTTATTCTAACCATTGGCTAGGCCTGTAATGCACTGGCATATAGTTCTTTCCCGTGTCAAAAAGGATTCATGCCTATGTTCAAATAAGCAGTAGGGGGATGCTAAGTAATATGTTTGCTATTGCATAGTTTCACAATTACTGTGTGACTTATTGATGCAAAGCTGATTTACATTTTGTAGTGTAAAATAATTAATATAATTATTTTAGTGTTTGTAAGACAAGTATTAGGCACTGATACTCTAAGAGAATTATCAAGGTTCATTCTAAAATAAAGTGTTGATGGTTTAATTTTCCAATTATGTTTGAAATTCGCTGGTCACAAGCCCATCATACAAACAGTTGAACAAATCACACAGATTGTGTCTGTTCAAAATAACATGGCTGTTCTAAACAAGCTTAGATATATAAATCAAACTGATGTTGATAAACTGAGAATCATTAAGTTTTTTCTTTCAAAGCCCCCTGACGGGTGAACTTGTCTGAATTAATGAAACTTTATCAAACACAAAAGGACAGCACCTTTCATTTACATTGTTAACATCAAAATAATACTTCCCAAAACGATTCACAAATAAATTTTAAGTTGGTGCACGTCAATGATGCTCCTTAAATATTTTTCCAGCTTTTAATGAGTCATGAGTAATACTGGATACTTCTTTTAAATGAATGAAAACAGCAAACAAGGCAAATAGGTCACAAAATGAGGGGAATGGCTGACATTCTGGAAGCCATAGTTGCAAAGTAGCATTCAGAAGTAGGCAAGTAAGTTCCACGGCCATTCAAAATTGGAGCTGGTTAAAAAGCACACAGTTAGCCATCAGAATGAAATTCTATTGCATTTTCTGATTACCAAACAATCTAAAACATTTGGGAAAAAGGCATGACTGGAATTTTTGCATAAAAATAAGTTGTCCTGCTGAGCAGATTGACTAATGGCACCGATGAGATGAGAGCACAGGCTGCCTCCATGCTTAAGCATGCCTGAAGACATGGTAGGTTTTTTGTTTACCAAGGTGAGGTGGAAGGGGATGTAGCCTCTACAACAGTAAAAAGTAGCAAATGGATGGTCATTGGTAGAAGAGGCCTCTTTAAATGGGCCATGGTATGGCTAAATTTAGACCATAAGATTTAGGAGCAGAATTAGGCCATTCAATCTGTTGAGTCTGCTCTACCATTCAATCATGGCTGATCTGTTTCTCAACCCCATTCTCCTGCCTTCTACCTGTAACCTTTGATCTGTTATCTAGCTCTGTCTTGAAAACATTCATTATCTAGGCCTCCACAGCCCTCTGTGGCAATGAGTTCCACAGATTCACTATCCTCTCGCTGAAGAAATTCCTCCACATCTCAGTTGTAAAGTGTCATCCCTTTATTTGAGGCTGTGCCCTCGGATCCTAGTCTCTCTGACTCGTGGACACATCTTCCCCACCTCCACTCTATGCAGGCCTCTCAGTATTTTGTAAGTTTCAGTGAGCTCCCCCCCACCCCCACCATATCCTTCTAAACTCCATTGAGTACAGACCCAGAGTTTTCAAATGTTCCTCATATACCAAGCCCTTCATTACCTGGGTAATTCTTGTAAACCATCTCTGGACCCCCTCTAAGGCCAGCACATCCTTCTTTAAATACACGGCCCAAAACTGCTCACAATATTCCAGAAGCGTCTGACCAGAGCCTTATACAGTCTCAGCATTACATCTCTGCTCTTGTATTCTAGCCCTCCCAAAATGAATGCGAAAATTGCATTTGCCTTCGTAACTGCTAACAAAACCCACAGGACTTAAAGATCTCTGTCTTACTGGGAAACTGCTAGCTGCATGGAAGACCCTGGCAGTTGTTTAATGTGGGGGCCCTCTCCACCACATGCTGCCAGTAAAGTGCCAATAATGATCATGCACATCTGGTTGCCAGGTTTCTGCAAACTAGGGCTTCCTGCCTCTGGTCATATCAGTCAAGCTCACTCCCTGAGGTCTTCTGCCATGATTTTACAATGCCTCCTGCTTCCCAGCCTGTCTTCAAAGAAATGGTAAGTTCCACCCTATGACTTTCTGCTTGACATTATAAAACATTCATGAAAAAAAAATGTTGTGTGAAATGAATATCTGGATAGATTTGGTCACTTTAAAAAAAAGACACAAAGAAATGTACATACTTTCCTGATATGGCATCACACACAGTTTTCCCAAATTCGCATGGTGGGAGAGCAGAAGGCACTTCACAAGGCACATTTGTAGGAGCTGCTTGACAATGTGGCTTCTTAGGATCATTGACTTTCCAATCAAACGCAGTTTTGTGACAACAGTCAAGTGGTTCTATCTTTCCATTCCTTCTCACACATTCATCCTTTATATTTCTAGAACAAGAACCTGTGAAATGGAAAATATTTCACATCAATGAATACAAGGGGAGCCAGTTGATGTAGTATATTTGGACTTTCAGAAAGCATTTGACAAAGTCCCGCATAAGAGATTAACGTGCAAGATTAAAGTGTATGGGATTGGGGGAAGTGTATCGAGATGGATAGGAAACTGGATGACAGAGAGGAAATGAAGAATAGGAATTAATGCCATTTCTGAAGAAGGGCCCCAACCCGAAACATCAACTTTCCTGCTCCTCTGATCCTGCCTAGTCTGCTGTGTTCCTCCAGCTCCACACTTTATTATCTCTGACTCCAGCACCTGCAGTTCTTGCTATCCTGTAGGAATTAATAGGTCCTTTTCAAATTGGCAGGCAGTAATTAGTGGGGTGCCACAGGGATTGGGTGCTGGGACCCCAGCTATTCACAATATATATTAATGATTTAGATGAGGGAACATCTCCAAGTCTGCAGATGATACCAAGTTGGGTACGAGGGTGAACTGTGATGAGGACACAGAGATCCTTCAGCATGATCTCGACAGTTTGGGTGAGTGGGCAAATCAATGGCAGATACAGTATAATTTTGATAAATGTGAGGTTATTCACTTCGGAAGTAAAATCAAGAAGGCAGATCACTACCTGAATGACTGTAAATTGGGAGAGGGTAGTGTGTAGCAGGACTTGGGTGAATTTTTGCACCAGTCGCTGAAGATAAGCATGCAGGTACAGCAAGCAGTAAAGTAGGCAAATGGTATGTTGGCCTTCATTGCGCGAGGTTTTGAGTACAAGAGCAGGGATGTGTTGTTGCAGTTATACAGAGACCACACCAGGAATATTGTGTGCAGTTTTGGTATCCTCTTCTGAGGAAGGATGCTCTTGCTCTTGAGGGAGTGCAGCGAAAGTTTACCAGGCTGATTCCAGAGATGGCAGTTTTGAAGTATGAGGAGAGATTGACCAGGTTAGGATTGTTTTCACTAGAGCTCAGATGAATGAGGGGGATCTCATAGAGACCCATAAAACTCTAACAGGACTAGACAGGGTAGATGCAACGAAGATGTTCCCGATGTGGACACACCCACCAATCAGGGGTCACAGTATGAGGCTTCGGGGTAGATGATTTAGGACGGAGATGAGGAGACATTTCTTCACTCAAAGAGTGGTGAGCCTGTGGAATTCATTACCGCAGGAAGTAGCTGATGGCAAAACATTGAAGGTATTCAAGAGGTGGCTAGATATAGCACTTGGGGTAAATGGGATCAAAGGTTATGGTGAGAAAGCAGAATTAGGCTATTGAGTTGGACGATCAGCCATGATTGTGAAGAATGCCAGAACAGGCTTGGCCTCCTATTGCTCCTTTCTTCTCTGTTTCTATTCAATGACTCTATTAGTGCAAAATTCACATTTTCATTGTTTTCAATCCACTGTCCAAACCCTGTTGTCTAGCTACTGTCTCAATCTTTTGCATGCCAATAGTCTGAGACTGAACCAGGCCCCGGTTTTCAGTCTGGGTGTTGTGCATGATCCTGTTATGAACTGCTGACCATGTATTCACATCATTACAAAGGCCCATTATTATCATATTGATAAGTTTAGCTCATTTCATCCTGTCTCTTCTAATCTGCTGCTGAATCCTTATTTATATCTCTGGAAGCCCTAGACCTGATACTTCACTACAGCCTGAGTTGGTCACCCATGCTCAAATCTCCACTAACTTGAGGTTAATTAAACACCTAGTGCCAATATCTTGCACCAACTTGTTGTCACTGGTCATCCCTGCGCTCACTGACTAAGATTAATTCCCAATTAAGCAGCATCCTCTGGTTAAAATTTTTCATTTTGTTTTAAAGACCCTTCAAGAGCCCATTCACCATTAATGTAAACTCCTCTGGATACAGAGCCCTTCTAAATATTTGTGTTTACTCAAATTCGACCTCTTGAGATTCCCTGCACCATTACTGGCCGTGGCTTCAGCTGCCAAAGCTGTGAGTTCTGAAATTTCCCCATATACCTCTCTCCCCTCTTGTCCCTCCTTTAAAACACCCCTGAAAAATTATTTGTTTAAAATGTTTGGTCATCTGATGTAATATCTCTTTTTTGCGGCTTGGTGTCATACTTTGTTTTATAATGTCGATGTGAAATGCTTCGGAATCTCTTAAACTTCAAAGGAACAATATAAAGATAACTTGATACTATTACTGCTGTAGCGTACACCACAGTAACAGTAACACATAAACATACCACATTGTCCTTGGATATTATCTAAGAAGTACTGTTCTGGTACTCTAATCCTGAAGTTGTTTTTTTGACCAATGATTGTGGTTCGAATACCAGGTATATAAATGGTAACTGTCTTGTGATTTTTTGTAATATTAAATTCTTCTGCATGATATGGAAAACTCACTTCTACTTCATTGACAGTTACCTGTAAGAGAATTGACAAGAGATCTATTAACAAATCATTTGACAACTCTATTCTTCAGGAAGGTATTGCCAAATAATGCAAGAATGACAACAAGGTCAGAGATAAATATTTATAAAGAAATTAGTAGGTCCAATTTGAATTGGAGGCAAGCTTTTATTCAGTTTGGTGCCAATTCTATGCTCAGCTGATGCAGCAAAAATAAAACCGCTCAGTTGGAAATGTATGATGTTTTGAGTAAAGTTGTCCAAATATTATCTGCAACCATAGACTTACTGCTACTACTTGAAAGGAAACTTCACCTGGGCTGGATATGAACAAAATTCTAAGAATTCACTGCATTCTCCTCACACACCAATGTTTGTGTCATGATAGAATAACGAACCAAGATACTGATATTGATAATGATTGATGACTTTCATGTTACACAACATGTATGAACACACAGTAATACCTACCATAAGCCTGCTTTTTCTTTCAGTTGAAAAATTGATGATATGTCTGTTGTAGTTAATAATGAATGATTTGGGGCAGGACAGGAATCTTCGATTACAGTAATAATTATCAAGTATCACGGAGAAATTGTATCTTGGAACTTTTTCTTGTACAAGAACATATGTGCAATCTTCAAAGAAGTTATAGAACAGCCCATCAAAGGTACGATAATGTGGATCCCCCCATACTTGACATTCACCTAAAATTAAAAAGAAAATGCTATTCACATTGAGATAAAAATGATAAGTAATATGAACATAATTTATGAACAGAAATTAAAAAACAATGAATTTGAAATAAATAATCAAAAAGCTACCTACAGTCACAGTCCCATGTTGAACAGCAGCCACCTTTAGTTGGGACACTTTTGGGTTCTAAGCCACTATAACATGTAGGTTTCACAGGGACTGAACAGGGCACCTTCGTAATTTCATATGTTTGTGCTATAACACAAGTAATGGTGTCACAGTTCTCTTGCCACGTTTCATTGCACTAGGATAGAGTAACAAATAGAATAATACATCAGCAAACATTTCAATTTGTTGAACTGTTCTGATATTGACTTCACATTATTGAGTATGAAACGAAACAGATTTCTCTCTTTCTGATCTGAGTGTTCAATGATAACATTTTCACAGAAGCCATAGCATCATATCAACTAAGTTGTGTTGGTTCATAATTTTTGCTTCTTATAAAGTCGTTCTTGGAATACAAGCACTGTTTGCCATATTTGGGTGAGACTAAAAACAGCGAGGTGAAGTGTAAAATGTAAAGCAAACATATCAGGAGGTTTGTACCTCTATACTGCCTTCATCAATTTAGGAAGGTGATGTGCATTAGAAGCTCAAGTAAGAAAACATCTTAATTTGTTCGATCTGTTCATCAGCTTAGCCCTGTTAACCCCTCAGTAATGGAAGGGTTGATTGTGAAGAGTGGCACAGAAGCAAGCTGAAAGATTTGAGCTAGCATTGGGAGACAGGCAGCTTCAGCTTCATAAAACAAGGATCACCTCAAAAACAAATATTTAAGGGGTTACGAAATGGTCATGTACGTAGTTTAGAGAAAGGAGGTATCAAAATGGTATTACTTCCATTACTGCAAAATAACTTTTTCCAAATATAGCAAGTGTTAACCATAACTTAAATATTTAACGTATATTTAATCTAAGAAATAGCACCAAGGTTCTTCACTTGAGAGATATAATTCGACAACAGTTGTTGTAGTAATGAGATGGGTTTAATACTAACTTAGTTAAAGATGTGGGCTTTAGTGACTCTCTCATATGAGTGACAAGGATGGAATTCCAGAACATAGGATCCAGACAGCTGAAGGTGTAGTTCCTCACAATCAGGTGTGGCTAAGAGCATAGAGCTGGATGAATATGAAGAATGCAAATTGACATAGGGCTGGAGGAGTTTGCAAAGAGGGAAAGGAGTGTTGTGTGAGGGAGGAGCTTTATGACGAGGATGAGGATTTTTTTCACTGAGACACAGACCAAGCAGAATCCAATGTAGTGTCAGCATTTTGGAGTGTTGGGGAACAGGACTGGTAGTGAGGTGGATATGGGAAAGAGAGATTTGGATGAGCTCAGGTTTCTGGAAGGTGGGATGTCTATCAGGAAAGTGTTGAAATAGACAAGGCTGGATGTAATAAAAAACATGAGTGAGAGTTTCCATAATCAAATGGAAGCAGAGACATAGCAAACGATGTTATAAAGGCAGTAATTAATGATCTGGATTATGAAGAAGAAATGGTTTTAGAAGCTCAGTGGAGATCAAATTGGATACAGAGGATGTGAACTGTTTGGTTCAGTCTGAGGTGGTAGTGAGGGACAGACATGGAATATGCATGAAACGGCAAGTTTCCTGAGTGCTGTGAGAAATAATGGGATCCATTTACTATAACTAAAATGTTTCAAGTATTATTTAACACAGCATTAAACCAATTAGAAATGAATTACAACTTGATTACCTTTCTTGGTGGGTCTGAATTACAGTAACATGTTTCAGGTGTAGTAGTTCTGGAGACAGACGTTGTCATGGTTGGAAGTGTTGTTGTTTCAACTGGTTCACAGCAAACTCTAATTCTATAGTCCAAACATGTAAGGGCGCCACTAGCTGGTCTGTGGCATATCAATCCGCTGTCTAAATCACATGTTACTGTATCATTGGTTTTACTAATTGGATACCCAGGAAACTTGAGAGCTTCACATTGAATATTTGTTATCCGGTTTACAGCAGATTTACACACATTTCGAATTGGGCCCAATTTTTCACGATCGTGCTTTTGGTTAACAGATGGATGCATGTCATTAATCCACTCAGACCACATTCCATTGCAAGGAACCTCTGCAAAATAAAGGAAGCATAATCAATTCATATTAATACAGAATACTACTAATTGCTACAGAATGTTCAATCATCTTCAAAGTTATGAAATAACTGAAGCAATTTTAAAAACTAAAATATTTTGGGATCCTTCCCTTAATGAGTTCTTGCACATTACGTTCTTGTAGTGTGTAATGGTCTGAAATCAAAATGTCAATTCAATAGCTCTGTCTTGAGACTTTTTCTGTGTGTTAACAATTTGTCTGTCTTCCCTCCTGGGCTTATTTTCTTTCTGGAGATTAGCCCATGGACATCTATTGAATTGTTCCACTTATATGGACAAAATACTGCAGTGTTTTGCCATTGTCTCGGAGTGGGATTCAATCACATCATCTTCTGAAAGCCTTGAATCAAGGCTGAGAACAGGTTTTCAGCAGCCATTGGATAAAGTTAAATTGCACTCATATATTTTTGTTTAATTCATTCATGGGATGTGGGTACCACTGGCTAGGCCACTATTTATTACCTGTCCCTAACTGCCTTTGAGAAGATGGTATTGAGCTGCCTTTTTGAACTACCTCAGAACTTGAATTATAGGCCCATCCATAGTGCTTTAACGAAGCGAGTTTCAAAATTTTGGCTCTGCAACAGTGAAGGAGTTGCAATTTGGTTCCAAGACAGGAATATGTGTAGCTAGGGGAGGACCTTAGAGTTGCTAGTATTCCCATGCACCTGCTGCCCTTGTCCTTCTCAGTCATAGAGGTCACAGGTTTGGAATTCGCTTTTGGACAAGCCTGGGTAAGTTACTGCAGTGCATCACACAGCATCACACAGCCACAACATTGTTGCTACTTTGCAGCTGTAATAAATGTCGTGAATGTTGAAGACAGTTAATGAGCTGTCAATCAAGCAACTGCTTTGTCCTGGATGGTGTGAAGCTCCTTGATTGTTGTGGACCTGCACACATTCAGGCAAGTGGAGAGCATTTCATTTTATACCTGACTTCTGCCTTGTAGATGCTGGACAGGGTATAGAAGTCATGAGGTGAGATGGTCACTGGAGAATTCTTAGCCTCTGACCCACTTTCATTGTCACACTATTTATATGGCTGGTCCAGTCAGTTTCTAGTCAATGGTAACCCCAGGATATTGATAGAAAAGATTAAGGGAAGGTAATGTGATTGAATGCCAGGAGAAAATGATTAGAATGATGTCTGTCGAAGATAGTCATTGCCTAGTGTGAATGTTATTTGCTACTTATCAGTCTGAGAATGGATGTTTCAGAATTAGCGAACAGCATGAAATGTTGGCTCAGTGGTTAGCACTGCTGCCTCACAGCACCAGGGACCCGGGTTTGATTCCAGTGTGGGGTGACTGTCTGTGTGGAGTTTGCACATTCTCCCAATGTCTGTGTGAGTTTCCTCCAGTGTTCCGGTTTTCTCCCATAGTCCAAAGATTTTTCCGGTTACATGGACTAGCTGTGCTAAGTTGCCAGTGTTCAGGGATGTGCAGGCTAGGTGGATTAGCCATGGGAAATGAAGAGTTACAGGGATACGGTAGGGGGGGGTGTGGGTCTGGGTGAGATGCTCTCCTGGGGGTCGGTGTAAATTTGATGGGCTGAATGGCCTGCTTCCACACCATAGAGATTCTGTGATTCTAGCTAGCTTGTGGAAAGATACCATCAGACTGGAAAATAGCAAATAAAACTCCTCTGTTTGAGAAGGGAAGCAGGGAGGCAGAAAGCAGGAAATTACCAGTTGGATAGTTTGACAACTGTCTCGGGGAAAGCACTAGATTCAACCAGTAAGCAGATATACCTGGGAACTTAATAAACTCAAGCTAATTGGAAAGAATCAGCATGATTTTATGATAGGAAAATCACAGTTAGCCAATTTATTGGAGTTCTTTAAAGGAGTAACACATGCTGTGAATAAAGAGGAGTCTGTAGACATTCTGTATTTCCTGAAGGTATTTTAAGGGGCGTCACATAATATGTTGTTGCCAGATAGGAACTTATGGTGTAGAGAGTAGCATATTAGTACGAACAAAGATTAGTTGGCTGGCAGCTGACAGAGGCCATGTATAAATGCAATTTTTTTCTGACTGGCAGGATGTACTGAGTAGAGACCCAAAAGAGTCTCTGCTGGGGCCTCAGGTTTTTACAGTTTATAACTTAGATGAAGGGAGCAATTGTATGAAGCCAAACTTTCAGATGATGCAAGGAAAGATTGGAAAGTATATTGAGAAGGTGACATAAGGGGATTCAGATATATATAACTAGATTCAGTGAGTGGGAAAAGTTCTGGCAGATGGAGTACAATGTGGGAAAATGTAAAGTTGTTCACTTTGACAGAAAAAATTTTAAAAAGCATTAACTAAGTACTAGCTATATAGAGAATGACTGAAAAATCCTGATATGCAGAGGGATTCAGGTGCTCTGGAGCATGAGTTACAAAAAAAAAATTAGAGGTACAACTAGAAGTTAAGAAGTTTAATGGACTGTTGTCTTTCATTACCAGATGAAATTGAATACATTTCAATGTATGTGCAGTGTTCGCTTCCTTATTTAACTATAGATGGTGTTTGAGATCATTCAGAGGATTTTTATTAGATCATGCCTGGAATGAGAAAGTTGTTTTATTGGGATAGTTTGGACAAACTGGCTTTCACTGGAGCTTAGAAGAGCAAGAGGTGACTTAATGAAGTGTATAACATCCCGAAAAGTCTTGGCGAGATGGCAAATGAAAAGGATGTATCCTCTTGTGTGTGTAGATGCAGAACTAATGCCTAATGTATAAAAATTAGGAGATGCCCTCTTACCAGAGGCAGGGGAGCTTTAGATTGTGTTTTTTTCTCAGGTGGTTGTGTGACTTTGGAATTCCCAGCTTCAAAGTCAGTGGAAGTGGAATAATGGAATATTTTTAAGGCAGAGGTAGATTGATTCCTTTGCCTACCAATAATCAAAGTTTACTGGGGTAGATAGAAACAAGGAATTCAAAATGTAAACATATCATTCATGATCTTATTGAATGGTTTAGCAGGCCTGAGAAGCTCAGTGTCCACTTCTGCTGGTAATTCATACATTGTCCAGTTCTTCCATCTTCATGTGGTCCAGAGTGAATGTTGAGGACTTCCAGGCAACTTCTTCCTGACTGCATACCACTATGACACTACCTTTGATGGGATGGTGGTGGTCTGTGAGGCATTGTTTAATAAGTTATGCGTATGACTGTTGCTTGACTATAGTCTGTGGGACAGTACTCCCAACTTTCACACAAGACACCTTCAATGTCCTTAAGGAGGACTTTGCAAGATTGACAAGATTGGGTTTACTTTGTTGTTTCCAGTGTCTAGGTAGTCAGTCCAGTTTTAATACCCTTCTTTAGACTTGTAGTAGTTTGATACGACTGAGTAGCTTACTTGACCATTTCAGAGGACATTTAAGATTTCATCTCATGAATCTTACAAGGAAACTTTAGACAGTTTGAACTTGTTTCTACTCGATTAAGAAGAGTGAGGGGTAACTTGATTGAGGTGTATCATCCCAGGTGAACATAAAAAAAGAATCTTTCCCTTGTGGATTAGTGCAGAATTAGGGAGCACTGTTTAAAAATTAGGGGACAGCTTTTTAGGAGAGAAATGAGGAGAGTTTTTATTTCTTGCGCAGAGTTGTATAAAGATTGACAGAAGTGGATAGATTCTTGTTAAGAGATTCAGAGGTTTTCAGGGTAGACGGGAAATTGGAATTTGAAACACAATCAGACCGTCAGACCATCAGACCGGAAACGTCAGCCTTTCTGCTTCTGTGATGCTGCTTGGCCTGCTGTGTTCATCCAGCTCTGCACCTTGTTGTCTCAGACCATATATGATTTTAATGAATAGAGAAACAGACTTGAAGACCTGAATGACCTACTTCTGCTCCTAATTCATACATTCATATAGAGATACATATGGGCCACATGGGGTAAGGATGAGAGATTTTATACGTTAGTGATCCTGATGGATTTTTATGACAGTCAATCATCGATTCATTATCTGCAGTTGAAATCCAGATTTGTTAATTGAACTGAAATTTCACCATGTGGTATGACGACCATCCCAGCTATCTTTCCAACAGCCAACCCCACCAATTTTCAGATTACTTGCTCATATCTAATAAAAGAAGACCTCACTCACCAGTGGTGGAACTGGCAGTAGAACTGGCTGTGGTGGTCGTCTCTGATGATGTTGTGGTTTCTATCAAAGAAAAGCAAATACAATCAAAGACTCGTATTAAAGCTGTCTAATCAAGCAGTTTCCAGACTAATATAAATCCTGTCTTCCACAAACATGAATGACAAGCACTCCACCAAATGGCACCATTTCGGAAACTCAGCTTTGAGATACTGAATCCATTCCGTACATGTTTATCACAGAATGCCTACAATATGGAAGCAGGTCATTCAGCCCATCGAAGATAGCAGTGACACTTAAAATAACAATGAACTTTGAAAGCCAAATGGACTATTTGTCCATAATGATGTCCAGCATTTTATTTGTTTTAACATATGTAAATTTCTTTGAATCATCTCATCACACATGTGAAAAATGATCTTCTCACTAAAAACACAGAGGCTGATGACAAAGTGCTTCATTTATGAAGACATTTCCTTTACATTGGTTTTGAAATAAATCATAATGAGATCTGGTCAATATTACTGGCCTTGGACAAAATTTGAGTTTGTTTCTAGAGCAGAAAAAGAATGGAGTTTCACTGACAAGCAGCGGAAGATGATCCTTATGTCCAAGGCTTTTCTATTATACACAATAGAAAACCATTTCTCACCTGTTGTGGTAGCTGAAGTAGAGGAAGTTGTAGTTGGGGGCAGTGTTGTTGTTGTTCCTTATGAAAAGAAAATGATGTTTAAAACCACAAGACTCCAATGTAATTCTTGGACTTGTACCATATTCCAATCTGATATGCTTGGCAATTGAAATGTTTAAATTACATCACATACTCAAAATGAATTGGGCCAAGTGTTGAGTAGAAGTAATATACTTTCACAGCGAGGCTGCTGAGATTTATCTACTGTTTCTGAATTAGTAAACTTGGTAATGTGTGTTCAATGCAGATATCACTCACCAGTTGTGGAACTGGCAGTCATCTCAGTTGTGGTGCCTGGCCCTGTTGTTGTAGTTGATTCTTCTGAAGGAGAAACTAAAACATAAATCATCTAACCAATGCATCCAATTCTAACTGGGGCAGCTGGGAGAAGAGTCAGGCTTGGCCTACATTCAAAATTAAAATGCAATGTGTGAATAGGTACTAGTACATCTGTTTCATTTGTCTGGCTCTTGAAATTATCCAAAACCTTCTGCATACAAGAGGTTATTTTGAAGTATGCAGATGTTTGCTGTCACAGTGCAGAAATAATATAACTCAGTTTGAATACAGCCAGATTAAACAAATTGTTATGTGAAGGAAAGGCAACCAAAAGGATTTTGCTGGCCAAGAGCTTAAGCTGTAACTATCCCTTTCTGAGAAAAGAAAATCCTCATGTTTAACAAAAGAAGACTTCAGTCACGGGGTGTGGAACTGGCAGTAGAACTAGCTATGGGTGTTGTCTCAGTTGTTGTAGTTGTTTGTTCTGAAAGAAAGAATCAATCACAATCAATACACAGAACGTGAATCAAGGCAGTACTGAAAGAGTTTCAGGAGCAGACTGCAGCAAATACAGAGAATAGAGAAGAATGTTGCTCAATCAGCTTATTCTTGCCAGTGTTGTTATTCCTCTGTCTCAATGTCAAACTCTGCATCAAATGATGTCATTGTGAAAGATTAAACTTGTGACACTGATTTTTCAGTTTATTCATTCATGGAATGGGGATGCAGCATGTAGCTGAACATTTATCACTAACGTTTTCATCGCATCTCTAGGATCACCAGTATTTTGCTGCAAGTGCTGAAATTACACAGTTAAAGTTAATGTATAGCAGAGATTTAATTTCCAAGGTGGATGTATAATAGGGGCTTAACAATTAATGATGCAGGCATCAAAACCTGGGTGTCGGGTCACACTGGCATTCATCAGGTGTTAAAATTTATTTTGAAGCCCTGTGGGAACCCATCCAGTTCCAATACCAGGGAGATTGTCTGCTGAAGATCAAAGCTACGGATTTTTGGTGATGTTCAAGGCTCGGGAATTGCCTGTGATCCCACAAGCTCCTGAGCTGAGAGTGCAACACATCGACCTCAGCTGACACTAGGATTTCACTGATGAGAGATTTAAGTTGTAACCGCTTTATCTTGTTTAATAATTTATGATGTTGAATGAAAAAAAAATCACTCACTAGTTGTGGAAATGGCAGTTGAACTAGCTGTGGTGGTTATCTCTGTTGTTGTTGTTGTTGTTTCTGCAAAAATGAAAAAAATGCAATCAAATTCATTACACCCAAGTTGAAAGAGGACAGTATTGTGAAAATCTCAGCGTCACTGATACACAGAAATGTCCCCTGCCACATATCCTGCAGGCTACCATTACCTGTATGTGCTAGAGTAGTCACTGGTGCCTGCCTCTTTTTGAATTTTAACTTTCAACTGAAGACATTTCTCCTTGATGATAAATGTTGTCAATTTAGAATAGAATAGAACAGAGTAGCATAGAGTAGAATAAAACAGAATAGAATAGAATAGTACAGAAAATCCTTTATTATCTCTTTAGAAGTACAGGAGTATAGCTGCCTTTTAATGGTGCCATCTGAGGTGCAAGTACCGAGGTAAAAATCTTATAGAGTAAAAAACACAGAGTGTTGTGTACAAAAGAGAACAAAAAGGAAGGCATCAGCATCACTTACAGTGTCTGAGAATGAGTTAGAAGTGAGTTAATGATAACATAGTGAAAAGGATTGAAATTAGAGACCGGTAAAGAGTTCCAAACAGTGCCAGCTCACACATGGTGCCTGGAACAAGTACAGCAACTGTCGCATATTTCTCCAGCCTCTTGTCCACTCCTCACCACTTTTTGGCCAATTGACACTGAATGTCACCAATAGAATCAGAGTGAGAACACAATCTCTTGTGTATGGGTTTGACAACTTCAACATCATTTGGATTGTAAGCGGATGGTGTATGTGTATTGGACCAGGAAGATCATTCACCAAGACACACCACCCCTGGAATAGAAAAGCTGGAGGATACTTGTCACCTGCGTGCAGCAAATAGAAAAGGAGCATTCTGATCAAGTAAGTATCAAAGCAGAATTTAATTGTACTTAAATAAAACACAATTCCGAGTTGCTGGATGGAAAAACATGTCACCAGAAAAGACCATCACGCTACGTTCAGAGGAAATACTAAGTTCATGAAATTGCACGTAGCCAGAGGAATTGTTGCAAAGTTCCAAAGACGTTGAATGGACTTGGAATGTTAACTCTGTTCCTGGATATAGAGATGATGCCAGATCCGCTGAGTTTCTTCGAAAAATTCTCTATTGTTTTCACTCATCTCCAGCAATTCACTTTGAGACCTGATGTTCTTCAGTTAAAGTTGATGTACAAGCAGAGACAGTATTTCCAGGGCAGATGTATAATGGGGTTGGATAATCAATAAAGTGGGCCTCAAAACTTGGGTATTATGTTACACTGGCATTCATCAATAGCTAAGCGATATATTGAAGCCCTGTGGAAAGCCATCCTGATGCAGTACCAGAGAGATGGTCTGCTGGAGATCAAAGCTATGGATTTTTGGTGACGTTCATGGCGCAGGAATGGCCTGTGATCACACAGGTGCCTGAGCTAACAGTGCAATGCATTGACCTCAGCTGA